AAGACGTTGGTTACCGTTCATTACGCCTGAATGACTTTATAGGCTTTCTGGAATAGGCATTTTAAAATCTAATATTTTACCATCAACTAAAAACACAAAAGCACGCATTATATTAGTTATCGAATACACATTTAATCATCAATTAAAATTAAAAGAAAGATAAAACATCTTAATAATTACGTTAGAAATTGGGATCAATGGTTTGTCAGTGAAGAAAATGGCTTCCGGTTGAACGCTTTTTGCAACGATAGCAACGGAGTAGTATCACATGGTATCGTGATGTAACACTGTAGTACTCTATAGAAAAACCAATAAAAAACAGTAGAATTCTTTTGGTTTTCTGTACCTTATGTGCAGTAGGTGTGACTATGTATACTATACCTGCTATTATAATACACTATACTGCTGTACAATAATAAATTTCTGTCTTTTTCAAATGACTTACCTGGGTATCACTTTTACTGCATGTTCCACAGGTTGAATGAGGCTGGTAGTGTATACATGCCAGCATTGCAAATTTATAAGCTTATCTATTGTTTATTATTATTATGTCAGAATAACTGCTCTTTTTCTGTAGTGTCATAAATCTGCTGAATTGTATGTTGAACTTGTGTGGCACAAGAAAAGAAAAATGAGTGGACTTGGACATTCAAGAAAAGAATTCTAGCAAACTGACAAGTTTGTAATACAATTTATGTTTTTTATGTTTTGCGAACCTAAGGGTATGCTCCATTAATTTTGTTTACAAACAAACTTAAATTTTATTACATTCAACAAAATTTTATTTCTATTTTCTCCTCTGCCAATTGGTGAACCATTTCAATATTTTGTGTTTATTTTTTCTTCCATATAGGCCTTGTATTTCATTTCTAGACTGGATATGAATTACACTTTTGTCTTTTTTCCCCAAATTCCTGTTTAGTGTTTTCTTCAGTTTCAGATAGCAGACGTTTGATTGATTTCATCTCAATATGTGAAAAATCCCAAAACAATAGTTATGAAAAATACTTTACAAATTGCCACTTAAAAACCACATGTGCAAAAAGGTTTGACTGTGTGCATATAATATTTAGGCCTATTATATACTGCATATATAAATTCTAGGCATCTGATTGGTTAAGAAGCAATAACTTCACCATCACTCCTATGGTGTAGGCAGGGGTGATAGTACTTTTTTGCCCCGTTGCGATGTGTAATCTCTGGCCCCACCTACAACGTGGTTGCTATGCAATTTATGACATGCACGTACAGTAAAGAGGACACAACCTCTACAATGCTGAGAGAGATTAACCCTTTGATCACCTACAGTACTGTACGCCTAGGAAGTAAGCCAGGCCTACTTGGTAGGCACTCTTTTCATTATTTTTTTTAGGCCTGGTAGAATCTTGGTATGAGGTATATAAAACAAATATTGACTGCTCTAGTTTCGAGAAACGGTGAAATCTATAGCCCATCAGTGATGTGAAGACCGTAGCCTCCTATCGTCCCGATAGGCTACGGTCTCCTGCCCTTGGGAATATAGGCTATGCTCTCCACATCACCTCGGGGCAATAGATTTCACCATTCCCCTCATGCAGTCAAAAGTTATATCATGGTACTATGCCATGATCACTATTAGATGACATCTTACTGGCCACAAATTGACCTGGTTATCATTGTATTGTACAAGTATAGTAAAGCACAAAATAGCCAAGGGCACTGACAAGTTTATTAATACAGATCTGCTATATGCAAATTGGATTAATTAAATACAATAGTATGCTTAATGACCTATAAATGATAACATAAAGACTTTTCCCATTGGATGTGTGATGGAATAACACAACTGATAAGTCTCCATCAATCATTCTCAAGTTCTAGCACAAAAAAAAAAAAAAATGTCATATGTTTGTTTTCTTGTCTTTTACATTTCCATTTACCATGAAAATATACTGAATGATGTGATGAATGAAAATAAAGAAAATGTATAGTTATTTTCATATTCATATTTTCCACAAAAAATTATCAATATATTTTAAATTACATATCATACATTTTAACAGCCGTTTCAGGCTTATTTCATATTCATAAGCCTGACAAAATCACTCAATTGCTAAACCTATTTCTATAGGTGCATAACTAGAGTATAATTTGTGGAAAAAATATGTTCAACACAAATAGATTCCCACGGTAATATTCAGGTGAAGCAGACAGAAACTAGGTTTGTATTTCCTTGTTTGTTTTACTTCCATTTTTGATACATATAGGCCTATTCTGATGTTTATAAAATACACAAATAAATTGAAATATAGTAAAACTTTAATATAATTTTATATTTTAATAGTCGTTTAACAGTTTCGGGCTTCTTTTAAAGATGGTAAAATTTAATATAGTACTATAGTAGTTGCCTGGTAACTAACTTTGGAAAGAATTTTTCCCACAACCAAACAGGTTCCCACGTACTCTTGAGGGTAAGCATTCACTTTCTTTGTGCGCCGCCAGGAATGTGGGCGCTTTATTGCCAAGACAGAAGTAGGTTAGATGCTAAAAAATAGACTAGTTATTATTAGCTGCAAACACGGGCGGTGGCAGTGAAATGGAATAGTAAAATATATCAGTAGTTTCAATGAAATTTATAAATACATACTATAAAATGAAGTGAAGGTGTACGTAACTGTAACTTCATCGATATTTAAAAAATTAGATATAAAAGCATATTTGATTCAACAAATTAAATTTGAATTTAAGTCAAATAAATATAAGGTATGTACTGTACAGTTGACTTTCACTTATGGGAACTGCAAACTTAATTCCAAACACACCTTCTCAATCAATTAAAAGTTTCAATTGAAGTACAATATTTGACTGCAGCCTTCTAAGAGCAGTGTACTATATTAGTAGAGTACATTATTTTATGTTGTAAACCATTTTAATATAGACTCATTGTAAAGTTAAAGTGTAATGTGTGCTTTTCAAAGTAGATTACAGTATTACAGGTCTCCCTCCAATTAAAATCCACTTTTGGGACCTGTGTGTTGCTCAGTTTTTAGCAGCTTTGGTCTCTAATTAGAATAATAAAGGTAAAAGACATGTTAAAATGGAACCACAGAAAAATGGTCTTTAATTGGAGGTGGCCTCTAATTGGAGGGTCCTTTTTAGAGGGAGACCTGTATTTATTATTCAATGGAGGTAAAATTAGATTATTCACTATAAAGACTTTATTGACTATAAAGAAATTGCAAAAGGGGCCATGGATAAACCTATACAATACATGTACTTTTAATAGTTTAATTTCCAACTTTTAAGTTACAAATCTTAACAAAAAATAAATTTTATATTAAACAATTATACTGATTAAAAATGACAAATACATTCGTATATAACCTTATTCACATTCTGTAGATGGTTACATATTACTGCTACACAACAAACACCTCCTACACAAATATTTATATCTACTTGTTGCAATTTGTGTTTGGAAAGGTATTGTTTTACTATTTGCTGGTAAACATTTGAGGAATTCAAAGTAGCCTTGGTTTTTCTTTGACGACTCAGCAATTCAGGCAATTTGAATTTCTAGATACAAATTCAATGTCAATTTGACCTAAAAACAAACAGATCTTCATTTGTTTTGAGTTTTAGTATCAATTTCTATGTGTAATTCCTGTTATTTTTTTAGATCTCATAAGCACCTGATTTTACTGAATAAAGGAGGTTAAGAATTGAAATATTATCTACAGATTTATAGTATACACAGAATGCTAAGGTTAATCCACACCCTGTGTCCAAGGTCAGGGTGATAATATTTTTTCTTATAAGAAATTAAGAAAAATATTATCAAAATATGAATTTTTATTCCAAATAAGAATACATTTGTTATACATTATCTATGGCAAAACATGAACTAAATTAATCATTCATTCAATCAATCAATCAATCACTATATAGTATGTCTCAATGTTACTTTGTTGTAGTCATTTTAGACAGTCCTTAACTTTTATAAACAGTAATCAAATAATAATAATTGCTTATTACATATTTTCAATTTGTTGTATCATTGTTTAGTACTGTACTGGGTCTTTTAATTATTAAATATTATTTTTAAATATGTATTATTGATCTCAAGCATAGCACCTGAATCTCTGATACCTTTCTCCCCATTAAGGGCCCATTGTTGGGCAGCTTCTCCCCCTGAATTTACGTCCCAGAGCCACCACTGCCTATAAGATAACAAATGTCTTCCTTTCATGCTAAATTCTTTACTTTCATGCACATAAATTTTTCAAAGGGTTAGTATTTTAAATTGTTAAGCACGATTCCTTTTTTCTGCCAATGTTATTGTTCTTTAGTACAATACACAGTACAGCACTGACAACAATTGCTTTTTTTTTAAAGTCATCTTTTTGAATACTAATAAGCTAGTAGTAGTGTGTCAGAACAGAATATTCACACATAAGGAAAGAATACAAAAGATAAAAATCAATTGGTCAATCTAAACCACAACAGAATGGTTTAGCTTGTAAACCAATTCACAATCAATCAATTATATTGTTAAATTGATTATATCTTCATCATCGAAGTATCAAAGTAAGTTTTAGGATAATGGTGAAATATAGGCAGTACAAAACATAGTATGATGCAAGATTCCTCCAAAATCGTTTAACTGTCCAAATCCAAGTTAATACTGATACTGTATGTTTCTATTTTTAGTATGCTATCTCAAGAGACAATCCTAGTACAAATATTATGTGAGAATATACCTATTAAAATCACCTTTGTTCAAAAAAACCCAAGAGAATTACAGTTTTATAAAGTTCAGATAAAGCCTGAAATTTGGTTTTCACTTTGAACTCAAAACAACCTACAGTACAGTAGAATATATAGACAGTGGAGACAGATCCAGTAGTAAACTATAAATGTTATACCTCCATGAAACTATCTATCTAAAGTAGCTACTTAAATAGATAAGGTTGATTGAAATTTGAAAACAAAATAAGTGATAAATAATGTTCACAACTTACCTGATTCCTCTTGCTGTGGACTATATATATAGAACATCGATTACTACTTTTTATATACACTGTTTGAACAAACATTTTCAAAGTTTAACCTCCCTGGTTCAAGAAAGCTTAAATAATAAGAAAAGGTTTCTAAAAGTTTTGAGATGCTGAAACTGTAGCACTTGGGCTACAATGTCTGGAAGCCCAGCTATAACACCTGACTTATTTACTCCATCTGCATCCAAGCCTAGACACTTGACTTCCCAAGAGGCTACGAATTTGATATGAATCCAAATGACTTTATTCAGGCTGATTACCTGCTGAGTTAGTTGACCCATCAAGGAGGGCCCGAGTAAAGACTCCTGGCTTCCTATTTCAACTATCTCAACTTACCTTCACTGTTTATTGCACAGCAAGTGTACACACTTTAACAATCATCAGTGCAATTCCTAGACTGGTCATTATTCCAAAGTAAAAGTTCATATGATCAAAAGGAAATATCCCAAATTGTTTTAGGTTTTGTCAGTAAGTTGCTCGATCATTTCAGGAGTTCATGTATGAACACTTTACAGAATTTGCTACAAAGTGTTCTTCCTCGTATGCTTGAGTGATTCCATTGTGTAAGCTCAGAGAACATGAGAAATGGTTGGATTAAAGTTGACAATCGTGATCGAAAGCAAGAAACCTGGCATATTGAAGCAAACAGAACACACCAATCACTGGTTGACAATAAAATGTGTTTAAACACTGTGGTTTAATTAAACATCAGAGGAATTTAAAGACTGATTCGTGTATGGAATGTATTTTTTTGCTTCACCTTGGATAGATACACAAAGTAATAATATGTATTATCTTTATACTTATGTTATATTTATATCTGTCTGTAGCCTTGCCACTTGAAACACTTGTTCTCTAAGGTAAACAAAAGTCCGACTAGTATTGAATTAGACACTGTCAAGTTTACAGTACAACAGATGCTGTAAAACCTGAGCCAGACGGACTCAAACTGTGTACAGCACAGAAATCACACCTGGATGAAAACTCTAAATTGGAAACCAAGCTCATACACTACTGTATGTCAAAAGAACCCAGAATGTCTTTCAAGAAGAGCAGGGCACTTCAGTGTTCTGGTCCATCTGCAGCAGCAGGTTATGATGGGACGTTTGGGAAGTACAAAGTGGTAGGAATTATGCAAGTTCGCCTGAGCACTTTATCGTCAAAGAAAAAACGCTATTCTGTAATAAAGACCTAAATAGCAATAACTAAAAGATCTTATAAAATTTAACATTGTGATATATATCTGTCAAAATATAAAACCAAATTTGAATTTAGGCAATAATGAGTCAATATTCTTACCTTTGCTAAAGTAAATTAATTATAAATAAGTTCGGACATGTTAAGACTCTGTTGTAGACGCTAGTCTTCACATGCCTGAGAAAATTACTGGTACAAACATAATCTAATAAAAAAAAACATAATCTAACTAATGAACAAATTAGGCCTACGTTAAGTTATCTTTTCTTAATGATGTTCTTGTAATTTAACATAAAGACAAAATTCAGTACCAGTATAGATCAAATCACTAAAACATTTTAGAAATGTTAAACCATCTGCAACAATACAAAGTATTATTCTACAATAGTATGTATTTGCTATGTGGAAGAGTTACCAGCCTTTTGGCAATATGAACATGTGTACCTTAATTTCTTGACAACCTGAGACTAATTCAATGGGGAAATAAATAATGAAATCAAAGAAGTTGACTAAAAAAACAGCTGTTATACTCTAAGGCATACTGTATGCAAGAAGCCAATTCTAGTAGCTGCATATAGTAGCACCTTCATGTAACTGTATATTTTTCAATATGAATTATGAATTAGGCCTCAAGTATTAAAAAATACAATTTTTTCTGTACCATTTGTTGTAAATTGACAGATTTATTAAAATAAAGGTTTACAACAATGGTACACACAGGACAACGTTGTGTACAAAAGTGCAACATAATTAAAAATAACCTATTAAAGTGTTGTTCATTGACACCACATTGGATTAAACCTATTAAAATTGCCTAATATACTGTAGGGGTGGTTCATATAAAACTTTTTTTTTTATTTTTAAAGAAACCATGTAATATTTGTTTTTCTTTTTCTTTATAAATAAAAACCAGTAATTTTTCTCAGACTCAGTGTCCTTATATTTTTGCTGATTTCATGCTCAAAATGTTCTTATTTTTAGACACTTTCCAAACATAGAAAATTATTATTCTACATCAGTATATTACAGTATATTACTCTGTACTGTATATAGAGGGTATTACATAGTCACACTTAGTGTACTGCAAATAACATAGATTTGTTGGTGTTTCTATTTGTTTAAAAATAAAAATCTCACTTGACATTTTATCTTAGCCTCAATTTGTTCATATTTTGTTAACTTTTAAGGAATTTCAGCTTTAGTGTTAATAATAATAATAATAATAATTTGGATTTGTAAAGCGCAAAATACATAGGTCTCTATGCGCTAGAAATTTGCAAATTAAAATAAACAAAAGAGATGAGTCTTGAGACGATTTTTAAATATCTCAACAGAAGGAGACTCACGAACAAAGATAGGCAAGCTATTCCACACCTTTGGAAAATGCTCTTTCACCATACGTTCTTGTATGACATGAAGGGATGAATAATGTAGATGAACTAGATGTAGATCTTAAAGCTCTAGAACAAGTGGTGGAGCGAAGTTTAATCAGGTTGGATATGTATGAGGGTGATTTATTATTTAATGATTTATATGTGAAAAGCAACAATTTAAATGAGATGCATTGCTTAACAGGTAACCAGTGCAGGCGATGAAGAGTATAAAATGCATTTTTATCAAAAAAGTGTACCTTCATAAAAAAAAATGAGCAGTTCTACTTTAACACCTGACTATATAGTTCAAAAATTTATACTGTACACATACAGTTCTTCATTATTTTGAATGTCGCCCTCTATGATGAGAATATTATGGGTTGAAAATAGACTGTTGAACACCTCTACTAATTGGATCCTTAAAACACCACCAAAACAGCCCTAGTAGACTTTTTTATACCAAACATTTCGCATTTAACAAAATTGAATAATACAATTGTTGTTAAGTAAAGAGTACTTGTACCATAAAGAGTATAAAATGAACTTTGTTTGTTGTACATCAGGTTTTTAAACATAGCCGTCGGAAGCATTTTGCAAGTGGTCCGGCCATTATAGTGAGGGGGTGGTGCGGGGGTAATATGAGCACTTGACAAATTTGGTAGTAAATGAAGAGTGAAGACCCGCAATCTCTATCCACAGCTACAGGATTTTGAAGTTAGTTGAGGTCTGAGAGCATAATTATCATATAAACTCTAGCCCAACCATGGTTAGTAAACAACGTGTTTGGCGCCTATGAATGTCCGGAAATAGATGTTAGTAACCTAGAGCCGCTTTCCCTTCCCCTCAAGGGGTAGCCACAATACATAAAGTTAACATGGATGAGAGTCTATAGTTGTTGGAAATATGGCACCTCTGGATGCCATGAAATAGCAGCTGGTAAAGCTGTAGAAAATAATATTGTTAAAATTTCTTATCATTGCCATAAGTAGATAAATTGAGTTGCTTATTCCTCCAGAAGAGCAAGAAACATGAATACATATATAATGCATAAACCAAAAATGACTATAACATACTGTAATTGTATTTACACGATGTGGAGGGTATTCAGCTATGAAATATACACAATATGCAATAAATAAAACACAGGATACTATAATTGCCACACAAATGGACCTGCAGCCTACATGTTATGAACATATTATTCGTACAATTTTAATTAAATTTTCTTGCAAAGTTCAGCCTGGAACATTAATAAGTTACTGATCACGCTCTAGAAGTTATATACTATCACTAGAATTGTAAAAAAAAAAAGAAGTTAAGTGCTGTGTTTGCTTCTGGTAGGCCTTATACCAATTACACATTAATTTTAGTCAATCTTCGGTATATTTATGCAGACAGACCATGCACGTATACTTCCATGGAGAGATCTACCCTGGTAATAAATAAACAGAGTACTCAGCCCATGAAATTTGGAAAAAATTAGGTCGGCAAAACTTTGCCGACCTTAAATTCACCGAGGTCGGCAGCCTCGGCAATTTTATACTACCTAAGCCTATATAGTATAAACCATGATTTTCCGAACGCTCGACCTTACATCGTCATCTACAGATTGTGATTTTGTTAATTTCTCTCTTAAATCAATATATTGCTGGTGAAAGAATGGTCATACTTGTATTAATTTACTGTAATAGTGTAGTATAATACATATGTTTTACATTAAGAAAATCACAGAATAAATTTCGTTTTAGCGTTCGTTTTTATCATTATCTTTCGTATGGGAAATATCACTTTCGTAAAAGCTACGACCGTATCATCACAGGCTGCTTCAAAACTGCCCATGCATGTCCTTGCCCATGCCCAGAATGATCTATCAGGGATTTTCCACACATGTAGTACTTGTCAGTAGTGAAGTCATGATGCGATTGCGATTGCGTTTAAAAAGACGGACGTAGGATTTTCAGGCCTACAACATGTTGAATTTTGTTGTTTTTAGATATTAAACAACATTTTAACTATGATAATCTTTAAATTCAATCAAGTTGCGGTTGCCATTCCCTAATATTGTGGTCTAAAAGTATAAATTGTGGATGCCCAAAAATCTCATCTGGCAATCCTCGCACCCCCCTCAAGGGGTAAAGTTGGTGTATAAATTCATACCTGTAAATTTTGAAAATGTGCTGCAAAGCAACTACCCCTATTCCAACCCCATGCAGGAACAGATACAAGATTGAAAGTTAGTGGAAGTGGGCTAGATACTGTACCCTCTATCTCAGGAGTCAATGCGATGCGTACATTCATATAATTCATAATTATCATGATATATTTATTTTAAAAAAGTAATGGAATTGAGAAAAAGTGGTCCGGCCATAGCCGGTGCGCTTCCGACGGCCCTGTTAAAGCAAACGCAAAAAACAATTAAATTTGTGATAATGGAATTTTGTTTGTTGTACCATAAATATTTTTAACGCAAATGAGAAAAAAAGAAAACAAAATTATGATAGAGAAATTTTGTTAGTTGTAACAACGTAAAAAACCC